AAACTTCGCTCCCTTTCCTCCCTCCCTCTCCCCTTCTTCAGCGAAAGGATGTATTAGCTTGTCCATTTTTTTCCCTAGGGCATATAAGACGACAGGGAGGGCTGGGCAGGCAGAGAGAGCTGACCCACCCAATCCAACCAGGCTTTGTATACAACAACAAGCCAATCACCGGTAAGGTACATCGCTTGCCAGTGATAAGGTATATCGCTTGCCATGATTGGCTGGTTGTTGTATACTGGGTACGTACCGGTACAGTACAGCACCAGTATCTGTACCAGTTCATACAGTAGAACACCAGTACATACAGTACTGTATACAAATGTCCAACAGTCAAGATGCGATCATGGCTCCACCAGCAAGAAGAAGGAAATATGAAGCCAGTTTCAAACTTAAAGTTGTAAACTTTGCCATGGAACATAATAACTGCGCTGCTGCAAGACAATATGGAGTAACAGAAAAGATGGTTCGGGACTGGAAAGCAAATGAAAAAGCGTTAAAGAGTATGGCAAGGGGTAAGTGTGCATTAAGAAGAGGCACCCCACATTGGCCAGAACTTGAAAAACATGTAGCAGACATGGTGAATGAGCATCGCCAAAATGGTTATGTAGTGACACGAAATAAAATATGTTTGTCTGCACTTCAGTGGGCCAAATCTAACCCAGATCACAGCAACAGATTTAAGGCCACAGTATCTTGGTGTACTAGATTCTTGAAAAGACATAATATGGTACTGAGGCAAAAGACAAAAATGGCACACAAATTACCTGCAGATCTTGATAGCAAAGTAATTAGTTTCCATCGATACGTAATACAACAGCGCATTAAACATGGCTATGCGTTAAGTAGTATTGGAAATATGGATGAAACTCCAATGAATTTTGATATGGTTGGAAATAAAACTGTCCATCAAAAAGGTGAAAAAACAATTTTAATTAAAACAACAGGACATGAGAAGTCCAGTTTTACAGTGGTACTAGGATGCACAGCTGATGGTGCCAAACTGAGACCAATGATTATTTTTAAAAGAAAAACAATGCCGAAACTCAAGTTCCCTGTTGGTTGTTTTGTACATGTGAATGAAAAAGGCTGGATGGATGAAGAAGGGGTAAAGCTATGGCTTGATAATGTATGGAGCAGGCGACCAGGTGGACTTCTTCAAAAACGTAGTCTACTGGTGTGGGATATGTTCAGGGCTCATTTAACTCCCAGCACCAAGCAAAGGCTTGCAAGAATAAACACAGATGCGGCAGTTATTCCTGCAGGATTGACATCGTTGGTACAGCCACTGGATGTGTGCCTAAACAAGCCATTTAAAGATCGCATTCGAGAACAGTGGAATGAATGGATGGTTAGCGGCGAAAAGTCATTCACAAAAGGAGGAAACATGCGTGCTCCACAGTTGGATGTTTTGTGCAAGTTTGTCATAAAAGCCTGGAATGATATTGATGCAGAAACAGTAATCAAGTCTTTCAAGAAGTGTGGCATATCAAATTCATTAGATGGTATGGAGGATGACTACTTGTGGCAAGATGAAGAGGAAGCTGAAGCTGAGACCACACCATCTGATACGGAATTCGATCCATATGATGACTGCCTTACAAATGTACCACAAGATGTCATTGATATTTTTATGATATCAGATGATGAACAGGATGATTTTGAAGGCTTTTAAAGGGAAACTGTCACACAAGCAAAACCTGTAAAAATAGCTTGCAGTTATGATGGGCGTTGCTGACTTGCCAGGGACTTGCCCGGCACTTGCTCTTTCTATTGTTTTTTATCTTCCTCCTATCATCATCAGTTCAGTTTGGTTGACAGCTTAGAAAACAAACAGCATGGCAGCTCCCATGGTTTTATTGTCTTATCCTTCCTTTCAGCTTTAGAGTGAATTAGGAAAAGTTTAATCCACTTGCACTGTTTTATGTTTATATGTTTGATGACAGCCTTATGTTTATAAATGACAGTTTTTCTGCTAAGTACCTGCATGTCATAAGCATTTGAATTAAAATTACCATATTGAAATCAAATCTGATGTTTTTAAATTTTTATTTGGTGTGCGTTGGAAGAGGGGTAGTCTTATACGGTGAGTATAGCCCAAACTCTATATTTTAACTGGAAAAGTTGGGGGTCGTCTTATACGCCCAGTCGTCTTATACGCCGGAAAATACGGTACTTTATTTTCCAGAGCATTATCCAACTGCTTCTATTTTTCAAATATATGACAGTGATCTAGTATTACCTATGATTACATTTTGAGTGCAGCTAACAGTATTTGTAATTAAGCTTTTAAACGTCAAACCCAATAAACATACAAGGCAGTCTAAGAAACTGTTATTGTTTACAGCAAGGCTTTTCAACCAGTGGTACAGGTACCACCTGTGGTATATTGGCACCTGGCAGGTGGTACGCGACCATCCTAGAAAAGTGATAGCGGAGGGAGGAGGGGAATGAGCTGAAACAGTGGCAGCACCCACAAGCCTGAGCGAGAGATGGCTGGAGTTGCAGGGCTGTCATGCTCCAGCTGGAGCTCGGGGCTGATCCTGGTGCTTCTGCTGAGCCCTGAAGAAGCACCATTCAGCTGGAATGTTGCAGCATCTCCAGGGTCTTGTGATTTACATTCAGATGCTTGGCAACTGATTCATATTTATGACAGTCACAGTGTCCCAGGGTCATGTGAAGTGACCAAAGACTGCTGCAATCACCCAGCAGACCGGGGGGAGGGTGAATAAAAACCAAAAAAACCCCACCCCCGCTGCCAATCCTCAACAGAAATGCTCATAACAATGAAAACCTCAGACAGGAGGAAGAGCCCCGCCGGGTGGGCAGGCAGGTGTCTTGCTCGGCTGTGGCTTGGGGGGCACTTTTTTCAGTGCCACTGTAACTTCGAACAGTTACTAAGCGAACTGTTGTAAGCCGAGGACTACTTTATCACTTTTTTCCCTTTTTTTGTCATCAAGTTTTTGACACCTTGCTAGGCGACAGGTGGTACTCGGATGTTGCCATGTCCTAAAAGTGGTACAATGGGTGAAAAGGTTGAAAAGCCCTGGTTTACAGCATATCAATGAAACTAACTTTCAATTTCCAGACAGTGATCATTTATCAGTCATTAATTTCAAACTTTTTTGAAAAGGAATTTTAAAGGATTGTTTCATCTCAAAATGATTGAAACTGTTGGCATATGGCTTTTTCCCCTTCCTTCCATCCAAAGGGAATCATTTAAATACTGCTGTAAATGAGCCCGTTTTCCTCCTTGTTAAAAGAGATTTAAAGTTATCAGCCTGCTGCTTAAAAAAATAGAAAGATCATACGCTATTTCCCTCCAAAAAGCATCAACAAAAGTTCTAAGCAGCAAGATGAAATTGTACAAACAAATATTACTAGACAAGGATCCAAACATTAAAAGCTCAATGACTGCCAATAATATCTCCAAGGAAACAGAAATTAAAGCATCTTGATAATTTCAAGTACTGTTAAACCAGGCAAAGATAACAAATTAACACTAAGATGTCTATAATTTGGATAGATTCAGAAAACTATTATACAAAATTGAAAGAGAATTAAAACATTCTATCTCCTGATAGTTGTAACTTAGGGCCAAACATTTTATTTGTTTCTTTTTTTCTTATTTAACAATTAGTGCTTATATGCCCCAGGATTTGAAAGTCTTCTGTTCCCTTTTCTTGTTTAGATTTTTTTTAAAAAAGCAGTAAAATTAAACTTTCAAAATGTTTTAGCATTCAAGAAGACTCAGACATTAAAATACAATCGATAAAAGGGAGGAGACAGTTTCACTCCCCAAGATTTCCTTAAAATATAAGTTTTAATTTTTCTAGTGCTAAAACATACGTGCTATATTAAGGATTATAGGGTACTATTATTCCATTGAATCTAATATAAATAACTGAAGAAATAAGAATCATGTCAAATCAGTAAAGTCAGTCCTGTATTCTTATATTCTATGAGAGCAATACAAGAACAGATCCTAATAAAACAATCTGTTCTGAACAGGTAATATTTCTATACTAAAAGTGGAGATGCATGTTACTTTGTGAAGCAGTTTTGAGGGGCTGCTTCATACAAAGCTTCACTGAAGAAAAGTTCTCTTCAGCAGTACTTATCATACTTTTCTTTATGCTTAAATATTTTCATTAAAAGATGTTTACGTTGCAAAAGGACATGCAATAATTAGAATTTAATATACTTTTTTATCAGGATTCATATCATTTTGTCATTGATTATGATTTAATTTCTGATTTATCATATAAAGTTTCTCATTTATGATTTTAATCATTTACATTGCAACTTCATCTGATTACTCCTTTTTATACTGATTACTAGCTGATTACATTAATTATATTGAAATATTTATTATGCTTTTATTATTGTGAAATGTATGGGTCATTTAATACCATCTTTTCACTCATTTTCTATGACTTGCCACCAATTTGTCTATTTTAAATTTTATAAGTTATTTTCTTTTTAATTCATCAATTACTCTCTATAAACTAACCCTCCAATCTTAATTCAATGGTCATCCTCCATACACTCAAAGAAGGAACCCAAAATAACAGGAACTCTGAAGATAGATACAAGTGAGACAGATGGAAGAGACCCTAAAGAAAAATAGACATGCAGATAAAAGTAATGTAATAGAAAAAGTAAATTCAATGCAAATAATAATATATACTATATCATGGCCTATTTTACTACATCAATAGTTCCTCTTTTAGGAAGATTTTTTCTACACATTATAAGGTGAAAATGCATAAATGCAAAAGTGTTATTTATTTATTGGAATGAACAAAGAGTTCAATTTCATATCTTTCAGAGCATCTAAAATATGAAATTGCTTACTATAAATCCCAATGAAATTAAATGGGCAATTAGAATTTTTTCAAAATACTGTAAACATACTGGATCTTATAGGAGGAAATTCTAGTGGATTATTCATTTTCCTATGTTGCAAAACTAATATTAGATATTTACTGAAAAGCACTTACTATGAGTTCTGAGTCACGTCCCATTGATATGACGGTTCTGTTTACTGTCCTCAATAGTTTTTCCATAATTATTTGCACATGTCGTTGTGTTGGTCCCTAAAATTAAAGCACAAAAAGAAGTAGCCAAAGCCAAGAGGATTAAATAGCTTTATGTATACAGTAAACAATTTTGAATCCCTTTGTTTTAGTTTCACTATGATCAATGCTCAAATGTACTGATTTTCTAATTCAAATATGGGAATTCTATTAAATTCAAATATGGGAATTCTATTAAAATCATTCAGCTCTATGGTCTTCTCTAAATAATGTAGGTAGAATAATTAAAAGGGGAGTGTATGACAATGCATTCATTCCCAAATATATACCATATGTGTTTGATTTTCTTTGGAAATTGAACCATGGCATCTGGATTTCTTTTCTTGTTGCTTCGAAATGTTTCACTGCTTATCCAAGTAGCTTCTTCAGTCTGAGCAAGTTGGTTAATTGTTAATTTTCTTTGGTTGTGATCTTAAATATATAATTTTCTTGAATAACCAGTCCTCAAAACACAGCATTTTTCCTATTAATGTTTATAACCAGGGCCCAAAAATTGATGTATTCCATGCTAATAACTACAGGTGATACTCCTAAACTCCATTGGTACCTCTGTATCCAGGAGTTGTACCTAGGAGTATTTCAAACATACAGCAAAATGAAGCCATACTTGAAAAATTGAGGACTGGCCTCACTTTCTCATGCAGTATATGTGACTTGTAGCTGCTAAAAAGGGAATTTCTGATTCTCACATCAGAGAAAACCATTATTTAAAAAAAGGACAGCTGGCAGCAATTCTCAAGAGTGGAAGTGTACAGCTGCAGAGACACTGATTTGAAAAGGTGTCAGTTAAACACCCAGGAATTAAATCTGGGGACTAACATATATAGAGGACAGGGTTCCAGGATGCTCTTAGTAGAATGACAAACTTCACTATGTAGATGACTTCCTAATTCGCTGCAATAAATCTACTTTTCAAACCCTATATTATCTGCTTGAGAATGCAAAGCAGGAAGAAAATTTAATCACTCTGATTGGTGCAAAGAATGTACTCAACTGCCCCACACAGTGTTTACTTCCAAATAATGCTACTACAAAGCTTCTAGAAACACTTCAGTAATAATACTGAATTTTAAAGTTTAACTAAATGGAGCTATTAGAAGAATATCACTATTCCTTATTAAAGGCTTGCTTATAAAAACACCACAAAACACACATGCACATAGAATCCTCTTTTTAGTGATGCACACTTATTAAAACTTGCAATTGAATTTTGTTGATATTGTCCTATTATGGCTATTGCAGTTTTTTGCACATTACTTTATGAAGATGTTCTTCAAACAATTATTTTACCATTTGTTAATAAATTACATTTTTTTACAAAAATTACAAACGGACAAGCTTCAGTATTCTGCATGTATTTGTTTTTGTATTCAAGAAACGATTAATTGGTTTCATTGTCTTTATCATCAGTGCTTGTTAATAGGTTTTCTTTTTGCTCCCTGACCCTCATAATTAAATTTCTCACCAATAAATATTCTCTTCCATTTCCCAATAATTCCTTAAGAAATGGACTTTTGTCACCATTCAAAAATGATTTCCCCCAGTTCAGCCTATTCATCTTTTATCTACTCTGCCTTCTCAGCAGGTCTGCAGGCACCTTCCTAAGTAAAAGGTCTTCAACTTTGCTAATCTCAGCAGGTAAAGAAACTAGAATATAATTGCTTATGCCCCAAGGTGCACAGCAACCAATCTTTTTTTTTTTTTGGTAAATATTAAGCACTACACCACTGGATTGTATTTCCAATCAAAATCACATTTCACAAAGAGCACAGGGAGGTTTAAAACACAGGCCATTGTTAATATATCTTGCATGTTAAAAAGTAGATTTCAGGAAAGAGTTTGCTTGTTTAATCCTTAAGGAATACCAAAGGCCTTTCGATGTATAAAAGAAACTTGGTTAAACAAGCACAAGAGCTTTATCATGCTGATAATGTTATATATTGAGATTTAGGAACAATGGAAATATACTATAATAATAAATTCAGTTACTGACAGCCATACAAAAGAATTGCCAAACTTGGGTGTGTCAAATTCACACTTTTAAGGCACAATAGTGCCTTAAAAAGTATCTGCTTCATAAGCCCCATGCTGAGAGATTAAATAGATAGAATCCATATTTTATTTCCCAAACAGTTTCTCTCATATAATATTTTCATACTGGTGAGCTATTGGTGAACACTAGTCAGTATCTTTATCAGTCAATCTCAGCATCGTAATTGTCAGATCTGGATAACTAATGCAAGAGTTGAGATGGAAATTTTGCATTAGTTTGTTGGTCTATTTACCAGTGGCTTTCATTGATCTTCTCTACTTTAGGAAACTGTGACAATATTGCTAGAAAAGAAAGAAAAAAGCTAAGAACTCCCTAACTAAACAGGATAGAATATGCTGAGACCGTAGTTAGCCTGAGTGGTGGCAGCTATCGTAATTATTCTTTCAGGAGAAGGGAATTGCCAGAAAGCTTTAAAATGCTTCTCCCAATCGGTGACAACTGGGAAATGTTATGTATTAGTAACAAAAGGATAACCTTCTTTAGAGTATTATGTAGTTTTTGGAGAAGCATTCTCTATTCTTTTCAGTGAGATAGTCAATATGATGTGCACCATTTTAAGAAGTTAAAACAATTTTGTGATTTGATATGTATTTTAAATTCACAGGTTAGTAAATCATACTTTAAACACCTAGGCTTATAAATAATAAAAAATGAAAACTAGTTTGGTCTAGTGGTTAACTCACTGGGAGACTGAGTTCTAGTCCTTCCTTAGGCTTGAAGTCATTGTCTCTCAGCCTATTCTACCTCACAGGATTGTTATTGTCAGAAAAGGATGGGAGGGGGGAAGAAATATATTTGCCGCCTTAAGCTTTTTATAAAAATAATAAAGGTGGAATTAAAATAAATAAATAAATAAGCCTTCTTCAAAAGATTATGGCATGAAAATCTAAAGTTCACACTGCAGAATAGGAGACAGGCAGTAAGACAGAGCAGCAATCACAGGGCCACTACAAAATTCTGCATTACTGTGCTCACTGAAATGAGGAATATTGTTAAGAAACCTCTTAATTTCTAGATGTAATTTTATTACTCATTCATTCATTATTCAATTTGTATGACAGCCCATTCACCTAACCTTACTCTAGGTGCCTCTGGGCTTATTAAATAAGTTCCCATTGGATTTTCTTGGCATTTCTTTTGGGAATCTAAATATGTCAATAATTGCAATCTGAAGGCAGCAACAAACAACCAGCCCTTAAATTGAATAAAAAAAAACAAGTAGTCATCTATACAAATCTGGTCCCTGGATGAAAAGTACCAGAGCTCAATCCTGCTGAACTATAAAACAGAGTTTACATTTTTATCACAGCATCTTTACTGAATAGTATCATAGACCATCCTGATGTAGTACTTCACTGCAGCCAAGAGAAAGTCTGAACTTCTCCATCAAGCTATCACAACTGCAAACAGAAGTAAAATGCTCCGTAAAATGTTCCAGATCATTTAGTGCCTAAACAAATTTTACATCTGATAAAATAAGGATCAAATATAACATACCAAATGCATGTCAGTATATCAGATTTTCACCTTTTCACCTTTTCAATTCAAAGCAGAAATCTAGGTGAATGGCATTACTACAAAAGCAAATGCTACATTGTTTAAACCTCAATTTTATTCATAACATTTTTAAACATTCATAATGTCAGAGTTAAATATATACAATGATTACTAACCACATCTTTCCTATAAAGAACTTCAAGAATATTACTGAGCAATCGGCAACAGGCATCCAGGTCTTCTTGCCTTTCCAAATGATACTTGAGTTGATCCGTCATCATTGGCATCAGAATCTCCCTGCAGTCTATATATCAGAAAAAGTGTCCGGTGGGTAGGTGGGAAAGAAAGTAGAATTAAGTAGTATATAGCACCTTACATACCTGATTACTCAACCAAAAAGATGATGATGATTTATTTATTTATTATGGCCATCTAGTCCAGAAGACTGGACTAGTGGAGTAATAATTTATTTGTTTGTTAATCTAATGAATATAGCTGCCAATCTCTCCCAAAGAAGACTCTGGCCACGTACAACAATAAATAAAATAGACAATATAAAATAGATAAGGATATTCCATAAATTGGGCACCACAGCAAAGAAAGCATATTTACTGGGACCCAATAGACAAAAGTCACTAGCCGGCAGCACCTGCAGCATGCCTTCTTTCCTAGCGCTATTGGGATGGGCTAATGTAACCGAGAAGACATGCCCCCCCAGATAATCTAGACTCATGTTATGAAAGGGCATTGTTCTCAATACATAAGAAACCATTAGAATCAATATGGTAATGAAACCCTATTCTCTATCATAACATTTGAACTATGAGATAATACAAGTGCTAAAATAATATCTGAATATAGTAATTCATTGAATCATTTAAAATGGATATCCTGTGGGGAGGAGATCTCCAGATAATGGAGTCTGCTACTCTAAAGGAACTTGTATTCTTTGTAAAAAGAATTACATTGTTTGAGAGTGATTCCATAAATCATCATTGTCACTTATGTGATCTATGTTTTGAATTATTGAGCTTATATGTCTGAGTAATAATACAACAACAACAACAATAATAGAAAGGCATAAAGACAAATGGAGCCTTTTTGTATACTGGAAACAAATTATTGAGTTGTGTCTGGGCACAAAAGCTTTGAGAAAACATTTCAAACCTAAGTATTACAAACCTCATTACAAACAAGTTTACATTCCGAAAGCCAAGCTGAAACATTAGCAGCTGGAAAACTGGCTTATGGAGATTCAGTTTCAACTACTTGAGAGAGGTCTTGCTGAGCCAAGCCATTACTAGAGACTCCTATAGATGTCCCACTTTTATTAACTGCAAGTTTATTCCACCCTGTTGAGAACCCTGGAATGTGTCTTTCTTGCTTACTCAGATAAGCTTTTATATAATGTAAACATTACTTATTTTCATCAGTATATGATTTCCCTTCAATTCTTTAATAGCAAACAAAAATTGCATTAAGCTCCAGAAAACTGACACGCCACAAATTTCTTTCTTGGCATCTAAGCAAATTCTAAATGTAGCCTTTGGCTATTGCCTACCACAAATTCCAATAACCCTTAGTGGCATTGGCATCAGATTAAACAGCCATATTTGAACTTTGGAAAATCAAATAACATTCATTAATATGAATGAATCTTGTTTGAAATTCTTGATGTTCCAGATCATTTGGATCTGAAATATTCTTGAAATGTCTCACTACACATCAGTTGGTCTGAAAAGACCTTTTATGTTATGTTTGCCCTTAGGAAAGAAAATATTTTGATGTATGTTTCAACCAAGGTAAGATTTGGAATATTTCCCAAAAAGCTTTATCTCCACAAAAGGAACTGATTCAAAGCAAGTTTGTGTACCTGTATCTTGGTGCTAACTGTATGCTAGAGATTTCTTCTAGCTTCAAAGATTGTTGCCATTGACAGCATGGCTTAAAAATAAAGAATCTGCCAGAAGAGCAACTGTTCAAGAAATGTTCTTGTACATCTTCCATCAGTTTAGGAATATTATCTATGTCTGCCATTTCCTTTACTCACACAAAGGTTGCTCTAATAAGGAATTTGTAGCTGCTGTGTGAATAGCAGGCAACTGAAGCTTTGAATTGCTTGTGAAGGACCATTTTTGTTCTCTTGCTGGCTATGAAGGATGTGAGGGTGCAGCAACCAAAGGGACATTTAATTATTCCTGTAGGAGATGACGGTTCCATTATATTAGGGAAGATAATTCTTATATGTCTATAACATTGCTTGATTCTGTCTGGAGTGTCCATTCTATCCTCCATATTTTCCTGAACAAATTTAAAAAAAGAACTGTCAAGGTTCTGGTTTATCCTTTTTTTTTAAAAAAAAAAAAACCTGTCTAGGCACCAGTGGAAGAAAAGACAAGATCTTCTCTGTTGCCTGTTGTGTATATCAGCTAGAAGTAGTAGTCTACACTATTTTGAATAGAAGAAAAGAGAAGATTACGGGTGTCTCTTGTTATTGAGGATCTCTAGCTCCTGTTAAAAAGTTCTGTTCCTTGAAAAATTTCCGGATTGGGAAAAAAAGGAAGGACATTATGTTTTACTCTAACTTATCTTTTGTTGTTGTTGTTTAATTATTAGCTTCTATCTATATATAGGTTTTACCCAATCATATGGGTGAGGAGGTGATCTCTCTCAGCTATTGTATATATCATGGCACTTTGGGGCATGACAGAGATTGACAAATAATAAATCATGTGGCAATTTATATACTTTTTAAACTTATTTAAAGTTTTTTTTTCTTACCATGTTGTGTGAAAAGATCACTGTGAACTATTTCAATCAAGCAGTACAGCTTCTGAATTGTGAGACGACCCATTGGAACATTCAGTATAAAATCTGTAAATAGTTTGCTAGCCAAACAAGAAAGAATAAGACATTTTTATTTATTTAGAAACACTGAGACATAAATTTAAAAATCCAATGTATTTGAAAAAGCAATTAAGAATTCATGTGATCCCCTGTTATTCTGATCTTATCTATATACTTATTAACTTATACATTTTTAAGACTCATGTAAAACCATCAAATTTATTTCTTACTCCCGAGCATTAATTTAATCAGAAAAATAAACATATTTTAGGTTTTCCCTTTAGGTTTTTTTCATCAAATGTTTATGGTTTTCTTCATTCCTATGCTTTTAAAAATGTGTTTAAAAATCAGTGGAATATGTTCAGTATAACCTTTACAAGTATTCAATTCACTCCTTCAGGATTTAACTATCTGCAATTAATCATCACTAGATAATAAGATGAATTGAAACTCTGCTATGCATGCCTCCTATATACTGTAGTTTAATGCAAAGGATGCCTATAGAAGGTAACAGTCGGGTAATTATTTTTGCCCTTCAAAGTGCCCAAGTGCATTGGGAATAGAAACATGCAAATATTTCAAATTCATATTTTTATTTAATCATTTATTTATCTGACCACTTGAAACCACCAGACTCTAAGCACCTTACAGAATTTACATAATAAACACAGACCATAAAATTAGAATAAAATTGATTAAAATAGTGACTGATAATAAAAGGCTAGAAATTCTGAATTATAGAAAAAATGACACTGCTGTATCAAATTAATCCTCCAGAAAAGGTTGGCATTAATTGGTTCTGGAAGGCCACAACTGTGGGGTTGTTCTATGTTTTGGAGAGCAAGCAGTCTAGAGGAGGGAGGCTGTTATAGTGAAACCCAAAAGTGTTAAGAAAACTGGTTCATCAAAATATGTCACTATGTAATTGTAAGCACACTCACATATGTATTTTGAGTAAGACTCACTAATTTCACTGCACCCCACTCCCATTTATTTATTTAGCTGTGAAATGCATAGCCCCTCCCCCACCAATCTGTTACAACTCGGAGCGGTTTACAAAATAATTATAAAAACAAAACAAAAATAATTATATCATCAAAAGAGAAAGTCCAAAAAGATAATAACAATTGTGTTAAAAAAAATGAAACCAAAGTTTCACTGAAGGGTTCCATCACATTCATTCTGTCTCAAAGTCTAGGGATAAGAAATAGGTTTTAATATTTAAGTTCCAAAAGAAAGCAACTGTAAAATATGCGGACATGGCTATGAAATGCTGTGGTGTAGAGCTCCGACTGAAAGAGGCTTTATCATTAATAAACTAACAGCATAGCAAATGTTTCCAACACAATCCTAAACTTAAGCATAGGAACATCTCAAGTTCAAAGAGGATTATTATTAAGTATGAACAAAAATATAGTCTTAGGCATATACTTATACAGATGACATATACGTACCTAAGTTCTTTGGGATCAAAAACAAGCTTTACATCATTCACAATAGTTGGTAAGTATTTAAGAGCAGCTCCCTAAAAATGAGCAGAATAATTTATTTAAAGAAGAATTAAATCATACAGTTGAATTCCTTAAAGCACTTCTTGCCACTGCTTCTCTGATACCCTTTTCAACAATGTTATTTAACTTTCCAACGGTTTTAGGAAACTACGTTCTTCACTGCCACCTCTGTTACTTTCTCCACTTAAAGAATGAGGCTACCATGTGAAAACTTCCTTGACTCCCAATTCTCTTTCACATCCCTCCACTGTCATTTTCCATTTGTTTCCACTACTGTCCTTTGTTGCTTCTTTATCTCCAGTTGTGAACCACTATGCTGCAGTTATCCTCTTTCAATTTATCAAATGAAACCTTCAGTGCAGCAATTTTAGGATCAAGATTTGTTTTCTTTCATTTTTACAGTTGATTATATCATTAGTTCCTATGTATTTATTTCTATCTTTGTAGCATCAGAAGATTTTGAAAAATCATAGGTAATATTGTACAATTTCTATCCATTGTATATAATACTTAGACACAAACATGAGCTTCATGATGCCAACCGTTTGGAGTAAAGAAAAGGACAAAGTCTAACAAGAACAAAAAACTTTACAATTAAAATACTTTTTTAAAAATAAAGGAAAGGATTTTATATTATATTATTTTGCAAGATATAGATTCATTCATATGGAATTTCTTTCTTCTTGCAACATTACATGAGGTTCCCTAAATTTTGAGGAGCTCAACTTTTTGCTGTATCATAGTATCTGCATTATTTTAATTTGCCTAGAGTTTTAATAGAATAATTTCCTTGACTCTTTAAAGATTTAGATAGATAGATAGATAGATAGATAGATAGATAGATAGATAGATAGATAGATAGATAGATAGATAGATAGATAGATAGATAGATAACCTTTATTGTCATTTTTTTACTGTGGGCACAATGGCATACATTAAAGATTTCATTCACATGAGAGTACTAATGTACTAAGGAGACTACACTATTCTTCTTCTACTCCCAGTTGAAACCAAAATCTAACTCAGAACTAAGGCAGTTCTATTTGCCCTTTGGAGGGAGTTAATCAGGCCCCAAGTTATTTATCTATTAACCATCAAATTTATAACTGTCTTTGTGACTAAAATACAGCTATGTATGATGATTAATATGAAGTACTTTGGGATAAAGTTCAGGGTACATTATCCAGTGTAATTATTTTAATTAAATCATTAGCATATCTTTACATAAGATAAGAGCTATCAATGATACAAAATAAGCTTTTTTGAATAATGCATGAAGTAATTCTTAATTTACATATTTCTCAAGATGATGCCTATTACACTGATTTCAGTTAGCAAAGTACGAAGTAAAAATTCATGCAACCATAAATATAGGTATTTTTTCTCAGAAAGAATGGAACTAATTCCATAGGTATTCTATATGTTCAGCACAATTAAACATACCTAGAATTACCTTCTTTGTACCACTGTAATACTTTTCTGTTTAAAGAAACAGCACTTCAATGCCTAGAGGCAACAAATATAACCAATATATTATAATAAATAGCTGGTACCTGACCTTTGTTAACCCCAAAAAGTTAAGTTGAATCACACCAAGTTATAATATTTCAATGGGAATCAATCATCAAGAAATACCAGGATTGTGGGCTAGAATGTGAAGAGTTAAAAATATGCTAGGAGTAGGTATGGTAAATCTTTTCTATATTGTTGCCAAAAAAACTACATGGTGTGCCCATGGCTCGAACTGAACCTGACTTGAAAGAAACTTCATATACAAAGAAAAAGTGGGAGGAAGGGAAATAAAAAGAGAAAGTCCTAAAAACATGAAGTTGTTTCCAATTAAAAAGCTTTTTCTAACTTACAAATTCTGGAAGCACCTTTTTCAGTATTATCCTATTGTTGGAGATTGTATCCTACTAATATTAGTGATAGCTTTGAGATAAAGGTTCTTGCCAATTTCATTTTGAATTTTGAAAATATGAATACTCTAATCCTAATTTTGAAGAGTTCTAAGATAAAACAAACTCCTCTTAATTTGAAAGAAATGGCTCAAAATTACACGAACTAGCAAAAAAAGTTTTTTCCTTTGAGAATTATTACAATTTTATTAGAAAAAATGAAAGTGTATTAAAAAAGGTGCCTGAGCTTTGGATAAACATCTCTCTAACAACATAAAATTTTTGTTTTAATGTAACCTACACATATGGTAATATTTTATTACATATATACCAGGACTGAAATTGACTCCTATCGGTGTTCTGAAATAATTTGCCTTTCAGTTTAGTTTTGATAAATTAATGATTAGTATATTTATTAATAATTAGCATTTCATGCTAATTATCTTTGCGTATTTTTAAAAAACCTACTATAGCATGTCTTCAATGGATTTGAAATAAATAGCACTCACTTTTATAAAATAAATTAATGATGACAATACAGATGACTAATGTGTCAAACTGTAATTAAAATATTTAATTATCTGAATTATGGCTTAGTTTATAAAGTAAAAGAAAATAGAGAGACTCTAGAATAATTTAAATTAGAAAGCCGATTAATTTTATACAAGGTCAACGCTAAGTCTTATGAAAGCCAAATAGCAAATGCAACCTTTACTCTATTTGCAAGCTATAGCTGAAACGAGATCCTGCATGATTAGTGGCATCATTACTATGTTAGCTATTCCCAGATGCTGATATACATGAAAAGAGAGATTATTAATTTCAGGCAATAGTCATCAGATATCAACGGAACGTCAGGAACAATTACCAACAATTAAACAGTTTGTTAACTTCTTAAATTAACATTATAAATTAAAATTATTAATTAACATACTTGCACATCACTAAGCCAAGGTTCATATCCCTGTTCCCATCCCAGCAAGGACAACAGAATTTAATCAGCCTAATGACAACACACATTTTCATACTCTCATACCAATAAAGAACAAAAAGCTAATCCTTTATTACACTTTGGTAGCATATTAAAAATTACCAAATTCCTATTCTACATTACTGTTCACACTTGTAAGATATCAGTCCTTCTTACTAAAATTACTATTGTCTTGTGATTTCATCTAAACAGGAATATGAACGTGTATGTTCTAATTGCCTCTTAGTGCCTATAATTGACACACTGTTAGTTTGAGACTGTCAACCAAAAACAGAGTCATCTGACTTTCCTCAGAAATGTAAGGGTGAGAATAAGCAATAAATTCATATGCGCTGAACTTATGTACACACATGCTCATCATGCTATTCTCTTTCACAAGAAATAATATGAAAATTGCACAAAAGGAAGTAAGAAATAATAAGATAAAGGAATGGAATATAGCTGAATTTATTTTACATTATTAGGCCTTGAACTTTTCATGAACCCCCACCCAATCACAACCTTCTTGGTCTTCCTCTTAATCCATTCACTCTTTCTTCATATATTGGTTCCATGATGTGATCCTCATTTATTCACTTATATTTACATATATACCAATTGTTCCACTCCCTTTCAGAGTAAGATTTGTTTTGCAGAATACAGAAGAAAAGTATAAGAAATAAGATAAGAAATGGTGGTAAGATAAGAAATACCACTGTAACAAAAGGAATACCATTATATCAGTATCAGTCACACATTGCTTTCTATCTTGCAAATCATCATTCATTACAAAATATCCATATATCTATTCATACAGAGTCTTTTGTTCTTTATATTTCTTATCTCACTTTTTTCTCTATTCAATTATGACTTTCGTAGCATTTCATTTTGACCCATTCAATCTTTATATACTTGTTTTGCAATTGAATCATTCATTATGGCTACATAGTCATATCACCACAACGTAATTAACTTTCGGGCTTGAAAGACTAATATATTTTACTTTTACAATAAAAATCCCTTCCCCAATCCCTCCCAACCCACCCCAAAACCCTCCCCCATTCTTCCCAGAGCTGAATACAGGCTTAACTAGATCTTAAAAGAAAAAAAGTTTTAAATCCAAATAAACCTTAAGCAAATATAATTACACTCAATAAACAAATTGTAAAATACTTTAACTCCATTATATATAGAAAACAAAAAGAGGAAAAAAAAGGGAAAATAAAAAAATAAAAAAAATAAAAAATTAAAGAATAATAACAATTACACTTCTAAATAATATCTAAATAAAAAAGAGAAAAAAAGAAAGAGAAAAAAATTAAAGAATAATAATAATTACACTTCTAAATAATATCTTAAACTTATATAAATTATTCAAAAGCTAGATAATATTTTCTTATATCATTCTTATATTGTATAAAATTTATCCATCTTTTCCACACCAAAAGATACTTCTCTTGCGATTGATCTTTCAAGAAAGCCGAAATTTTTGCCATTTCCGCTAAATAAGAAACTTTAAAAAACCATTCTTGCAAAGTAGGCAAAAATTCCTTCTTCCAATATTGCAACGTAATTATAATGGTCACTCATTTTTGTGTTTAATCCATTTTAATTCATTCATGACTTTTTCTCTTTTTCTTTTCCCTTCCCCTTACTCTTATACACAACTACTTTCAACAATATTCATTCATCGCAACAAAAAGCACACTACTCACTATCATTCTATGAGAATTGGCATGTCTTAACATTTCTCCAAAGAGCTATCTTGATACAGTGATTAAGGCATCAATCTAGACATTGGGGGACCGTGGTTTTCAGTTGTGCTTAAGCACAAGGCTACCCAAGTGACCTTGTGTTAAATCAGTTTCTCTACAGATACAGAATGTCACTAGAAGTGATACTGACCAGAAAGCAGGTACGTACATACGTACGTACGTACGTACACACACACACACACACACACACACACACACACACATCCTATTTCTCCATCTGTTTTCCCAACTATAACATACACTCTACCAAGTTATATAAATTCAGCTACTTGCTCCAGTTTTTGCTATTTACATATGAAGACAATCATTTAACCCATTTTGACATACAACCTTGGTCTTTGCTATATTGGTCTTGAGATCAATATTTTGTTGCATCATTAAATCTAACAATTCCTGCAAATCATTTAGATAAATAGCCAACACAGTAATATGTCCTTGAAAAATATCATGAATACTAACATACTAATATTCTCACATCACTAGCAAGTTACGAATTTATTCATAAAAACATTAAACAGCCAAGAAACATCACACTCCCTTATTTTATGCCCTGTTCGTGTTGAAACATTTATCCCATTGATTTTCATGTATGCTTTACTTCCATTATATCTATCACTCTTCTCACATTCAACAACTAATTTTCAACTCCACATTTATGAAAAATATTTCCTAACTCAAGCCTATTTGCTTCATAGTATACTAGGAATTACTTTTCATAGAAGGATAAAAATAAATAAAAATATTACATAAATGTATTAAATCTAGATAGCAGGATACCTAAGCTGGGGGTCCTCCATGGTCCAGTTGCGAATAGGCCAGGGCTCGGTAGTGACTGCGGGTAGCGCACACAGGTGTGAATGCAGGTCAACTTGCTGAAGTGGCAGTCAAGCTGCATGTGCATGCGTGTGTCGGCTTGCCACTTGTGTAAGTTGAGCTGCACATACACATGTGTGCGCTGGTCCTCCACTCGCACCTGGTTTCCCTTTCCCCACCCAACTGGGCTGCCAAGCCGCAATGGTTGGTGACCACTGTCCTAAGCTCGCAGTAAGTGTGTGGTTGTGTGTGGAGAGAAGATATATAATAAAAAGAGTAAGATTCAATGCAGCCCCCCCTCCACAAACACATACACACAAAACATGCTCAAAATTTACTTGGCTTTTGAAATAAATGGTCTGTTTTCTGATCAATAAATAAATTATATACATGATGATACAAGTTTACTAATTGAACAAAAATACATTGGTGCGAGGTTATCTATTCTCAAATCTTATTTTGCCTTTTGTTAAGTGATGACTACTATATTTGCATTTTTCTATGGTATGATAGGAGATTCAGCCACCATAAAGTTAATTATCTATTAATGAAAGTGACATATTCACAAGCAGAGTTATTATAAGAAACAAATTTCTCATTTATTTCAGTGACTAAGTACCATGTCACAGAATATGAAAGCACTATTTTCTAGACTGTTATGAATTAATAGAATTTTAATTTCTGAGCCATGGTGGCGCAGTGGTTAGAATGCAGTACTGCAGGCTACTTCCGCTGACTGCCAGCTGCCTGAAGTGATTCCTCACACTGAAGGCTCAAGGTTGACACAGCCTTCCATCCTACCAAGATCAGTAAAATGAAGACTCAGATTGTTGGGGGCAATATGCTGACTCTGTAAACTGATTAGAGAGGGCTGTAAAGCACCTTGAAGTGGTATATAAGTCTAAGTGCTACTGCTATTGCTAATTTCACAAATCATCAATTGTTCCAAGATTACCAGTCTACCAAATTTCATTCATGGCAGAGGCTAGCAAGAAAACAAGAAGATACAAAAATATACACTATATATTTCATTTATCTTTTATTTGTCCACAAATTATGTTATATTATCATCTGGGGATTATAGAAAAAAATCTGATTATGCTAGAACAGAACTGAGTTCCCCAATGTTCTTCATGACCTCAAACTATTTTTAAACACAGCTTCTAAAAATTAGTTGCATTGTTTCTGATAACATGAGACAGGAAAAATAAAAAGCCATACTACACACACACACACACACACACACACACACACAGAGAGAGAGAGAGAGAGAGAGAGAGAGATACAGAGAGAGAGAGATACACACACAAGTAAATATACACCTCTAAACAATTTGTTCCAAATCTAAGGAGCAAGGTATGCTGAGGAGAACCAAAAAAAGCAAATAGAAAAAATCCTATTCTTTGCTGGCTCCTGCTATTTTATACTATCATCCAACTCTCCATAACCCCAACCCCCTTCAAAATTATTAAGTATAGTTGCAGCCAGTATCCATTTGCCTTGCCTTCTTTCTAAGATTATTTTGTTTTGATGTTTTCTTTGTGTAAGATAATTCAGGGGTTAAGAAGCTATAATTAACCCACTTGAGTTCATACAAAGCAATAGCATAACAAAATCAGAGCTATACCATAGCAATGTTGTCAATTCAGAAAGAAGCATTAATTCATATGGACAAATTTCCTACTTCCACACTAACACACTAGAGTATTAATTTCAGCAACAAGTACATTTGCAGAAAAAGTTTCATTACAAATTTCAGGCTACTGAAAATTCTCTGGACACATTTTGAACTTCATTTTTCAAATAAAGTAAAATATAAAATTTCCTGTAATGTGTAAAACTTAAGATTTTTATAGATAAAAATAAAAAAGCTCTTCTATTTCCAAAACATACCTTTACTGTAACAGTCTGGTCAGAGGCACTGTTCATCATTTCGTTAATAGACTTAAAGAGTTGAAGCAAAGATTCCCTAAAGTCAGCTTCCCCTTTATTCTCATACAATCTGAGAAAACAAATAACAACAAAACAGTTAAAAAGAATACAATAACTAAAATTAATGAGTACTCTCTCTCTCTCAACACCTTCCTTTACAGCCTTATTTTTCCGCCATATCAAGAATAGGAAAAATGCACACTAATTCTGGATTACACTGACATACAATCTTTCTCTAGGACAGTGGTTCTCAACCTGTGGGTCGGGACATTTGGGGTCGAACGACCATTTCACGGGGGTCGCCAAACAACGCAGTCCGCCATTTTTTCCCCTTTTCCTTAGCTGTGCTACTCCCTTTTATTCTATTGGCTTTTGAAAGCCAATAGAATAGACTCTCTTGAATAGAGTCTAATTCTATTGGCTTTCAAAAGCCAATAGGAATTGTCCAGGCTGTCTCTGCCCTGCTGAGCCCGCCAAAAGTCCCATTCTGCAAACGGTGCTGCACCAGTTGAGTAGTCCTTGACTTACGACCGGTTGGGGGTCGCGGCATTAAAAGGGTTGAGAACCACTGCTCTAGGATGTCACATGGTTCCCATACAACTATTGCATCTTGTCTCAATCACTGTTTCTTTGGCCAAATTAAATCTGTAATATGAAACATAAAACAAAATCTTTGTTTAGTACTGCAGCAAGGTTCAGATAAGAAAGAATCAATCAATCAAGGTAGCAGGCAGCATCCCATATAATTCAGGAAATTCAAATCAAAAACATAATTTTTTTCCCAATTCAAATGCATTCTTCAGAGAGAACAGGTTAATTTAATTTCATTTTTGTTCTTTTACTATCTTTAACTCCTGAGAAGAGTAAGACTCTCATAGTTGGTTTCTTCCAAATAAGGAACAATAGCTCCAATCCTGGAATAAGGATTGGCGATTAGTCACCTAAAAGAAAAAACTGGAGTTAAAAGCAAATTAGATTTTTTTCCCAAGTTTATATAACTGAGTAATCTGAGTTGTTTCTTTCTCCTTAGTCCTATTTTTTCTACTTGTATTGCGTGTGTTTGTCTGCATATCTTGCATAGAAGATAATGAAGCTAAAGTTTATAAGATCCATGATATTTTGCTTTTAATTTCCCACACTATCTTCAAGTTTCATTTTGCCTTTAACTTAATCTATGTAACTTCTGTCTTCTTCTGAAATCTGTAGTCTTGTTCTGACAGAGAAGTTTTCTTACTAGGCCTCCCAGTTTATTATCTATAAAAATTGAAAGCTGGGAGGTCCCACTAGAAAATGGAAGCTAAAACAGTCATAAGTTTGAGAAAAAGGCTTAAGGATCTTGACTTGAGGGAGTCAGTGGAGCTCCCCATACATCTTTTACAAGTACCACTTGTCTTCAGAATAGGTTTTATATGTAATACCACAACACTGGTTTTTTTTAAAGAGTATCTCACACATTGCCAAAGAGAAAGGATACAATTTTCATTTCTACTAGCCTTAAAACATATCATTATTCTCTATTGTTTGATTAACAACTAGTCCAAAATTCAGTCATGTTATACTGGATGCAGATATGAATCTTTTTTGTTTAGAATTGTCTTTTTTTTTTAAGTGTTGGATTTAAAATAGTGTGAACAGTGGATAGAGTATGGAAATTATTGTTACTTAACAAAATATCTTCATCTATTCCAAAGAACTTCTAGGCTTGGTACAATATATTATGTAAACTGTCACAAATTAGATTTAAATGGTCAGTAATTGACAAAAATCAGTCTATTATTTTTAATAGAAACATGGTAATGATAAACTTTCGAGAGACCTAAACCTGAAATATCAAAAAACATGAATTTAGAAAACTGAAATAAGCAGCCAATGGAGGAGACTAATTTAGATATGAATCAGTATGAAAAGCTCCCTGCTGAGTCTGAGTTTTTTGAATAGATATGTTTTGACAAGAACATATCTTTGCCTATAAATCTTTATACTTCTCATCTATAAATCTGTAAAAAAATCATAACATCTGTCTTACTAATATTTTTCCTCTTCAATAATTGATATTGTTATAAAGATTACTTCTATATAGTAATAATTATCAAAACTAGGATAGCATTAACTATTTTTAGATTTTTTAAAATTCCACTTTTATTATTTTATTAATGACTCAAGGTAACAAACATATCTAATTCTCCTTCCTCCTCATATTTTTCCTATTTTCTCTGTGAGGTAAATTGGGCTGACAGAGAGTAATTGCCCCAAAGTTACCAAACCATTTTTCATGCCTAAGGCAGTAGTAGAATTCATAGTCTTCTGCTTTCTAGTCTGGTGCCTTAACCACTGGACCAACCTGCTTCTAACTTTTCTAATTATTCATATGATGAAGTAAAATTAAATTGCTATAATATTGTATTAGAATATTACTGTGCAGAATATTTAATTTTTGGAATTTCTTTCTAATAATCCAAGCAAGCTGCACACTTGCCAAAACAAACAGTACAATATACTGAGTTACTAATTTATTTATCTAGTGTATGGCATATACTGTCAGAGAAATCTATAAATGCTAAACACAATGCAGTCCTGAAAGCTTAACAGTTAACAATTAGTCAGCAAGCAAAGAACTGATCAACATCTAATGGTGAACTTTCACTGTTCATTTCATCTACAATTAATGAAACTAGTAACATTTATTTAATGGTATATAAAACAATTACTGTAAAAACTGAAGTATTTTGAAGATACATTTAAGGATAAATAAACTTACTGATTGAACAAAACTCTTGATCGCACAATAAATTTGAAGATATATTCCAAAGATCTCATAGCCTTGAACAGTTGATCAGTGACACCAGCATTATCCACGTAAGTCCTTAAAACTTTTGTCAGTTTTCTGAGAAAAATAAAAATAAAGATTGTATATATGATAAGATGTACTAACATATAGCATAATCGTAATTTGTGTTCAGAGAACTTTTGAGGACAATAAAAAAATGAATAAAAAGAGAACTCAAGATATGTTAAAAATAATAAAGGCAGGATAAAAAAAATCTTTTAAAAAAGAAAAAGTAAAAGAAAACGTAAAAAAGAAGACCTTCAATAGAGAATCAAAAGATTTATAAAAAGATGCCTTAATTTTTTGGATCAATGCTGAAGAAAATTACACAAAGCTGTATCCATTTTGCACACAAATGTTAGAGCACTTGTAAGATAAACCTCTGCATGCCAGACTGCCTTTTTTTTTCACATTTTGACCAGCCAGTAAATGTAGAATACAGATGCAGTATGAAGATTTCTGTTTCCATTGTTTTCTTTCTTTACAGTGAAGACATTTCTAGATATAATACAAATGGTTTTAAAATTTTCTTCTTTATTAAAATTTTCAAAACAGAGGTTTTAGAATAATGCAACAAATACTTATGTTCTAACCAAATGAAATATGTTTCTGTATCTATCCATACTCATACAGAGCTTATTTAAAAATAAAACTGCACAAAAGGCTTCACAGGAAGAACATTAAGAACACATCGCTTAGCAAAAGGGCACCACTCTCTATTGTGATTGGTAAGTGAGAACTATCTGTATCTCATTTTCCTAAAATGAGTTCATATTTTGCTACTGATCTTCCCATACTGTCTTGAATTATATCTTCATGGTTCTCTACAGGTGTCATAGCCCAAGACTCAGATGCTGAGTCTGAATTTTGATTTGAAGAAACTGATCCAGCAGATCTTGTGGAATGTCAATCTAAGGAGACATACAGCCAACTATTACCAGACGCTGATCAAATACAGGCACCACCTGGAGGAATCAGGTGATGATGACAGCAGGCCTCCCAGCACCCATACCAAGCAAGTAGAGCAAAGCAAAAATGTTCAATGAGTCTTCTTGCCAAGCAAGGGAGTAAATCCCTTGATTAAAAGCAGTTGGTTACAGCCTGATTTAAGAGGCAGTGCTAACCCATGATCTCTCATTGGAATCAATTGTCTGATCTGCAGCTCTCGTATGACATGCATGTTGATTCTGCACTTGAAATTCTGACCTCTGGGCTTGGTAACAATGCTGACCTGGTTCTTGGAATTCCAGACTGGCTTTTGATTATTCTTTTACACATTTTTAAAGACAACTATTCAGGCAAGCTTTGTTTTAGCTTGCATTCCTTGTCTCCTATTATGTCCATGGTCTTGAGTAAACTGCTAATTTCCATAGCAACTGTGTCTGTGAATGTAACTGTAACCAGGAATAGCTCTTAAGTAAAATTCAAGATTATTCTTATGACGTGCAAGAGCCCCTAGACCATGGGTGTCAAACTTGATCGCATCACGTGACGTATCGTGACTTATCATGACGTTTTTTACCTTTGCAGAGTCAGTGTAGCCATGGCCTGTGCATGATACATCTGCCCACGGGCTGCTAGTTTGACACGCCTGTCCTAGACAATTCAAGTATAGGATTCATCACAAACCACTTTTCGCCCATAACATATGTGGTTGATCACTAAGATCAGAGGAGGTTCAGTGGCATATGCCAAAGCAGGCAGAGTACCATCTTCTAGTTATTCATGGAAAGCCATTTTCTGTAATCATACCTACAATCTAGAATGTGCCACAGCATATATGAACTGCTTAGCTATGGACACAAAAACAAATCTCAGATAAGAAGCCCAGGGAAAAGAAAACAGATTTTAATTCTGAGATCACTCAAATAGTCCAGAAAGCAATACTGTTAAAGAATTGGATGAATATTTTTTACTAATAGTCTAAGAGTCCTTCAGCATAGTAGGTTCGACCACACACTGGCCTAATCAACCTACAAAACAATATAAGCATTTATGGTAACGACTTTTTATACCTCCTATTTAAAAAACTAATTTTTATCTATGACATATTTATTTAACAACTTACGTATAAGCCAAAGTAGCACTGAAGTGTTTCTTAATGTAGGTTTCTAAAACAGGATTGAAATGCTGGAACTTCCTGTCAGCAATTAGTCCAATGATAAAAACCTATTCAATGGGAAAGGGTATTCATTATTTTGAAAATACAGCATTTCAAATATTTACATTTTAGTGAAAAAATATAGAAGAGAGCTCCATCTATAAAAACAGTTTTGTGATAGGATTTTACTTCCATATATTAAATATAAGGGAAGGAGAATAAAGTAAAATTTTGAATAGACCTAAACTGAGAGTAACAATGAGACTTTACCAGTTGTCCTCAAATACAGACTAGGTTGCTGAAATATTGACCTATGAAGGTCATATATAATTGCCAGCACAACAGAATTCTTGCTATCTGAAAATCCATGGCATTTGGCTTTAGTGTATCTCTTGATATCTAAGGAAATCTATCCCTTTGGACACATTTTTTTCTCAGTAAGCTTGCTTTTGTTTTAAGACCTGGAATGGAATTATGCACAGAAGTGACAATATTACATTGGTAACTTCCAAAACAATCTCTTTTGGAAACCATAACAGGTCTTTCCTCTGCAGGCAATACTGGCTGGGTTCATAGTTCTTGCTAAGTCATAATTTGTTGAATAAATTATTGTGCCGTAAAATTAAACCACAACCCATAGTTTAACATTCAAAGTAGTTAGTTTTGCATACCATCTAAACCCAAACCAGACATATGATAGCTTGCCAGGCTGCATCAATCCTTCCATCAAGAAATCTAAATGATTCCTTGATGGAATCATTTTAATCACAGCAAAAGTTGTGATTAAAAATCTATATTTTTAATATAGCAATAAATATACCAAACAGAGGCTTTTCAACCTTGCTGTATCTTGATGTTCTGTCCCCAAGTGATGCTAGTGGGTACTAAGAAATATGCCTGGATTTACATAAGTATCCAAAGGCAGTGTATCAGGGATCTTAGGAAGTGGCATACATTGAAGATTCAGTTTTTATGGGTTTCTCAGCCTGTTACTATTTATATTGGTGAACATTTTCACAAAACTTGTGTTCTTAAGTTTGCTTCTATGGTATAAATTCCAAAACCAGTATTTCATGTAGTCAATAATATCATAAGTCCTTGGAAAGTAGTATGATTGCATTTGCACAGAAGATTTGAGATTCATGAAAGTTTTACTGCTCATAGGGAACAGATATTAAATGAATTAAATCAATATAAAGCAATATATGTCTTTATGTGTTTGTGTGTACATATATATATATTCATATATATTACCAAAGCATCGAACACCAATGTGTCAAATGTCTCGCTTTCTGAATTCTCCATCATAATGTTAAACAATGCATCCAATGTATCTTGAAGGAACTGGAAAAAAATATGGTCAATATTATAACAGGTATTCAAAAATTAAACTTTGTCTCAAAAGTTATTAGTAATTGAATTTAATGGTTCAACAGTGGTGATTATATTATTTTTTTATAGTGGAAAAATAAAATAAAAAATCCTTTATTCACATTGTCTTAAGAAAGGTATGGATACATTTTATATTTATACAAAGAGAAGAGAGTCTATAAAAATAATAGCCAAAGGAAAATGAAATTAAGGAGGTCACTAAAAGTAATGAATTCAGACCATATGGCATCAGTCCCCGAGGTGTTTCAAGGATATTGTAGTTTTCTTGAATAACGGACCTACTCTTTGGATCTTTTTGAGGAAACCCAGTCCTAACCCCTATAACTTTTGAGGTTGTTTATAGCAATACCACAAGGATGGAATGTAGACCATACACACTATAAATCAGCATATGTAACTACCACATTCTGCACACGTGATATACAGCATATTCAGACTTCACTTTTAAAGAGAAAAGGTATTCTGGATTAATGACACATTCATATCTAATATTTACGATTTCTTACAATAGTATCTTCTTTACTTGAGATATTTTTATAATATCAAATGAGGCAATGTTCCATAAAGGATTCAATAACTTACATCTTAATAGCAGGTTTTGCAAGGTGTGAGAATGTGGCACAGTTCAAGTAAGATATGAGGTGATGCACAAGAGGTATGGTACAGGTCAGGGATAATGTATAAGAGACTGACATGAGCACACAGGATTGCAAAAGAATGCACAGGTGGGGAAAACTTGCAACCTTCCCGGTCGACTTCCCAACTGACTTTCTGAAGAAGCAGGCAGAGAAGATTGCAAATGATGATAAGGTGATCATGGAGTACTACGATCAGTCGTAAGTGTGGACCAGTTGCCAAGTATCCAGATCGCAATCATGTGATCATTGGATTGCTGGGACGGCTAAAATTCTGAGGACCAATAATAGCCACCATTTATTCAGCACCCTCATACCTTAACAAGGTTACTGAACGAATGATGATAGGTCGTAAAATTGCCTATATGACTGAATATACATACTTGTAGAAATGTAGAGTTCGAAGGAGCCTCTGAGACTGGTGAATCTAGCCCAATGTTCAGTGCAGGAATTCAAATTCAGCATTTCCCACAGATGGTTTATGGCTTATGGCTTCTGTTGAAGGGGATTTCACCATTTTTCTGTGCAATTAGTTTCACTATCAAATTTCCCTTATGATTAGGCAATTGATTAACATTCAGTTGTAATCTGGTTTCCTACACACACACACACACACACACACACCTGGCAATGAGAACTCCATCACTGCAGGAAGCAATGGCTGAACAGCACAGCATCATCCAATATTGCACTTCCAAATCCACCTTCTCAGTTCACACTTTGAATGCCTCCCCACCTACATGGACATGCATAATCCCAACCCCCGCTCAGGGTCTGCACACTCTTCAGCCTGTTTTCAGCAATGCATAGTAAGCAAATTGATTAAATAATCTGTATTGCTTTGGATATAAATTTGGTTTAAGGACAGACTTAGGACTGGAAGTTGTTCTTAAACTGGCAACTTGCTGTAACTTAAATTCACTATTCCATGTTTTAAAACTGTGGGATGACAGAAAACAAGTCTATATTTGTTTCATTCAGTAAAAGTGGGCTGGTTGCCAAATACCCAAAATGCAACTGTGGAGTGGGGGCATCCATCAGAACTTCAGAACCAGGTCATAGTTATTTTTGGGGAATCCATCAGAACTTCAACTGATTACTTTGCAACCAGTTGCCAGTCAAGGACTACCTGTAGGATATTTCATTTTACTAGCAACAAGAAGCAGGACATTTTCATATTATAGAAATAAAAAATGCTGCTCTTTCCATATCAATAATCCCTGCCAATCGCCCCCACCAAGAAAAAAGATTTCTTACTTTAACAACTTCACCTCCATCAACTTTCATCAGTTGCCTTAAATTCTGTTGCAGTATATTTGTGTTGGATCGCCACTTCAAAAGCCCCAGTAAGTCCACTAAGAAGGGGGGAGAAAAGTTGGATAATTCTATCATACATAAAATACAACAGCAGAAAAAGACTGGAACAATTCCTATAAGCTGCAATCGTAGATATGTTAATCTGAATCTAACAATGTTTATCTACTGACAGAAAGAGATTCAATCTTTTCCCATCCCATCCCACAAATATACTGCAGAATGTTAAGGGAACTCTCCAAATACATTTTCAGCATGTTAACATTGGGGAGGAAGGGATGGATGGATAAGTCCTTTTGGCCAAAAAGATTTCTTGCAAAGTACCAGATGTAACCCATGGACTAATAAATCTAGTTACCAGATTTTAGAAACATATATGAATAGTGAAACCATCTATATCAACCATCTCTTCCCGAACAGAAGAAAGCATGCAAGCATGCCATTTCACATGTTGATTCTGAATTCGTGCAATCCAATGTCATGCTAATCAAATGGATAAATGAGATACTTTTAAATAAAGACAGTTCATAATCTAATGATTTTACATACAGAAACTATTGTCAAGATCTGTCACCAAACTTAATTCTGTTCAAAAATCTGATGATGTAATATAGGATCAAATCATAATGAGATTTAGAAATTGAGGCCCTAGGAGTGCATGTTCCACTCTAAACTCTCCAGAAAGTTCATCATAATTTTTAATGTAACAGATATTTAAAATTAAACACACAATTGGGTAGAAAGAATATTAACTAATTTTAGTTAAATTTATAATGTGACAAGAAAGTGTACTTAGAAAGAAATTTAGGTTTGTCATAGCTTTATCTACTCATTTTTTTAATGCAGTACCCCTTATATCAACCAGTCCTCAAACAGAAAAAGCAGTGCATTTTTGAATTATGAGGTCAACAGGCTAGATAATTTTTAGTGTATAAATTTTAGCAGTATTATTGCATGGAGATTATACTAAAATAAAACGTATTTGAGCACAGCAATATTTCTCAATGACCTAAAGGAAGACTGAGCCCTAAGAATTCAAAATTAGGATGGAACTGATGACCCACATATATCATATAACAGTGGTGGTGAACCTATGGCACGCATGCCAGAGGCGACACTTGGAGCCCTCTCTGTGGGCACACGTGCGTTGCCCCAGCCTTGCCTCCCCCCACGACCCACTCACCAGCAGCCCCCTGGAGGAGAGTCGCCCCCGAGCATGACCCACGCGGAGGATCACAGCCAAGGACATGGGAGCCAGGCAGCGTGGACAAGACTCTACCCTCATGCCCCATCATGCACAGTTGATGCTGCGGGGCGTGGGAAGAGGGAGTGGCCACTATGGCACTGCTGGACTGCCTGGGCGATCTGCAGCGGGCCCTGGAGGCGGTGAGTGACCATGCAGGCAAGCAGGGCAAGGGATGGGATGAGAGCAGAGTGGGGGCGGGGCAGGGGGTGGAGTAGGGCAGGGCCAGTTTTTGGGCACTTGGTCTCTAAAAGATTCGCCATCAAGTTTCCAGTCATCTTGTATTCAAAATTTTGCATGTTACCTTGTGGAATGAATTATTTTGATTTACCCTCACTTTCAGTTGATCGAGCATGATAAAATTGAATGAAGCTTGTAAACAAATCCCACAGGTATATACTGTTAACTAGAAAATGTCTAAAATGTTTTACAGCATTATACATTCCTTTAAGAATTTTCCTTCTAAAGAAGGAAAAAATTATTTTTTTAAAAAAAAATTAAAAATAGACCACTGTCAGAAGGTCAAGATATTGTGCCTCTCAAAATACTATCACAATTAACTGAACATGAGAGAAAACATTCTATTAAAGATGAGCTTAAGTATCAAGACAAATGCAATGTCAACCTTCATTCATACTTATATCTTGCATTAAAATATGGAAACCCTATTCCAGAGAACTTAAAAACTATTTTAGCACAATATAAAACATCAAAAATAAAGTTAAAAACTATTTTAGCACAATATAAAACATCAAAAATAAAGAAATAATTCTCTAAAATCAATATAATTTTGTCTATCAATAAAGGCAATATCATTACAGAGTTATTATCAGCTTTAGTGCCCTAAGAATTAAAAAGCTATAATTTAGTTAAGATTTGAGTTTCCTACAAATCATTCTGGAGATGAAATTCCAAAAAAAGTTCTAAATTAAATGTAGATATGGATAGCAGATACTAAGATCAGTTCCAGAAAAGATGTTCCAATATAAAATTCCTTCCTCCTTCAATTACTCAATTTTTCAACTTGTCCAGGTAATAATATTATATATCCAGTTCTAAATACTTGTTTTACTAAGCAACTTAGAACTATTCCCTAATTTATTAAAATGATTTTAATGGAATTTTTCAGTTGCAGGAGTTGTTAAGTTTTACTTGCTTTCTTGAACAACAGTTTCCTATCTGTTTCTATGACACCATTTCAAGCTTATCAGAGAGGCAACACGACTCCTTTCATTCCACCTCTTCAATTCTTTATATCTGAAACAACTATGTGTTTCTTCAGGTTTATTTTCTATAATGATCCAACAAGCCAGGAAGAAATAAAATACTGAATAATATTAAAAAAATAATTATGGGGCGAATTATCACCAAGAAAAAAATCATCGACAGGGACATTAACATGGGGCTGAAAGAAATGCACTGTAATATTTGGGACATAGCAAGTATATAGTATTTCTCCACTCTCCTTCAATTGTGATTGAACTATATCACTACTCAAGAGGCACGTGCCAAATAGGAGTATGGAACGTGATATTTTATCTAACAACGTATTTCCCTATGGATATATTACAATTGAACCTTAATTCAGAATTAATATGTTCCAAAGGCTTAATTGCTTCAATGCAGAAAGATCTAGACAATCTTGGATGATAGGTTTTGGAAAGAGCTGAAAGCTCTGTCCAACACAAACTGTAGACACCCCTCTGTATCCCCTCTGTTTTTTATAGAAAAGAAAAAGAAAAAAAAAACCCTCTTTGTGTGCAAGCAGCTGCTGTTTGAGCTTTTGCTGAGAGTTATTCTCTAGCTGGGAAGACTGTGTAAACCCTGTGGAAAGAGTGTTTACTAGAGAGGACATGCCATGAGCTGCATCACTACCGTGAACTAGAAATTTCCCATCCCTGTCGCTTCCTGACAACAAACTATACTACCAGTCAATTTAATCTAAAATCTGAAAAAATAGATTTAGCCACAGAAATAATATAGGTTTTCTAAAGCTGTATAAAAGTAAGAGAATTCAAAATTACTAAAATATTAATTATCTCTTTATGTTTAATGGCTTTATATTTTTACAGGAAATTACTGATAAATGGTTTAAAGAGAGTATACATGTGATCTTCAAAACAAGAAAACTCACATGCATTTTATACTGGTAGTCCTCGAGTTACGAATGTTATGGAGCCTGCCCATTCCATTCGTAACTCAAGGATTCATAGAAGAGAATCTTGTACCTTGAATGCGATTCACTCCCAGCTTTCACCCACGCATTCAGTAATTTAATGTGTGGGCATATGCGTAGCTTGTTAAATGACATGAGATATCTCAGAGTGGGAAAGACCATGGGGGGCTTAGTGATGGAACAGGCCACCTGCTTCAGACTACCCAAGCCCCCCTTGAGATACCTCATGCTCCCTCCTCCCCTGGGATCCCCACAATTGCTCCCCCGCCCATCCTGCCGCACTAGGGTCACTTACCTTGTGAAGATCTGTCTCCTCTCCAGCCTCTCTGTTTCTTTTTCTGCTGCCAGCAAGAGAAGAGGGAGGCCTCCAGGGCCCAGAACAGACCTTTGGAAGCACACGGCCACTGCCCACATCCTCCGTTCTGGGCCTTGGAGGCCTGCAGAAGACCTCCAAGGCCCATAGTGGTCCTCTGTAGGCCTGCGAAAGCGTACCCCGGGCTCCTTTCTGGGCGGCAGTGACCCAGAAAAGGCCTCTGACACCCGGATTGGGCCTCCTAAGGCCCATAGAAACATTCCCTGGCTTCCATTCCATTTTCTGTTGCATAGAACAGAGGCCTAAACTATCGTGAGATAATGAGAGATCAGTAGTGTGAGATCTCGCACCACTGATCTCATGCTTGCATTATTTTAGGCCTCCATTCTCTGCGAACACACTAAAGGCCTGGGGCAGCCAAGAAAGTGAAGGGTCTCTCGGTCTTCGCAAGGTGAGTATCCTCAAGCCTAGTGCCTAGGGAGATCCGAGGGGGAGGAGGGAGGGAATAGCTAGGGTGAATGTTGCACTGCCACTGTGGTCGTTCGTAAGAGTGAACGACTGCTGTGGTGCAGCAATATTCATAATTTTGGGACTTTTTTGTAAACACTAGGGGGCGCTTATCATGTACTTTAAACATTCGCTAAGGGAACACTCGTAACTTGGAGGTTATTTGTATAGCAAAATATGAATAATCTTTTTTGTTTCTTCTATTTTTCCTACTGAAGTGGAGATACCCAAACTCTGGCATCTCTAGCACAGTTTATTCATATCTGTTTATATGTGAAGCTACAGATAGCATCTAATCTCCATCATTTTCCCCCTTCTGTTCATTAGTATTTATGTTAAATGTATAGTTCTTCACCAGTCCTACCAGTATGACCAATGGTCAGGTATGATGCAAGTCCAAAATTATTAGAAGGGTCATACATTCTCTACTTTTTTTAGATGTTTCAAATAACTCCTGTCAAAAAGAATTTCAAAAGGTTGACCAGGTTGCATAAAATACGTAACACTTTGTATTTTATTTCTGAAGGCCTTCCATGCCCAAATATAAAACGGTGACTCAGAATTGAAATGGTCAGCATTAATCTTTTCAACACACAAACTGAATGTTTTTTTTTCCTAGAACTGTATTATCATTCCTACCATTTTGGGTTAGTTTTGTTGAACAGACAAGAGTAGAGATCTGGAATGAGTCTTTACTGATGGTACAGCTTCCAAGATTTTGCATGCCCTTGCCAGCCATGGAGTGACCTTTTTCTTCCAATTCCAGTTTAGTAGAGGGCAAGCTTAAATATGTTGAAAAATCTTCCAGCTTCTTTGCTTCTGCCTGCAACATTATTCCAAAACAAAATATATATTAATTTTTTATATTACTCACATCTCACTGTATCTAGACATAGACACCTTTAACTGTTTATTTCATTTCTAACAATGTCATAGTTGGTTGCATGTTTTCTTCGCTGCCTTCACCACCTTGAAAAGTAGATCAAAATGTCACATAGCAACATTAACACTGTTTCAACTCCAGAGGCAAATCACCAACATTATAACATATTAAGTCTGGAGGAAACAAGGAAGAGAAAGATTCCACTTACTATAAAATATGTAGTTTAAATTGTAAAACATTCCAAAAATTTTAAATCATAAAATCTTGAATTGTTTAATGAGATGTCTGATTTGTATTGAAATATCTATGTGAAAAACAACTTTTGCTCTTCTTTCTAATACATATGCTTATACCTGATTCTAATGAGATAACAAAAATTGATCACATGTACAAAATTATATGTATCATTTTGAACAATAACAAAAACTCCTAAATCATTGGCTCCTCAAAGTGTTATAGCATATACTTAAGATAATACCTTATATACTATAAGATCATGTTCTCCATCTCGTAGAGTTGTCCCATCATATCGCATTAATTTAACAAATGCCAGAGCAAATATTTTCTCAGATTTATCTTTGGCTGTTCAAAAGAAAACAAATGAGTATACTGTAAATCAACTGATCAAGACAAATATAGCAATGATAAAATACAAGATATATACGTTAATGAAGATTTAGAAATTATTAGGTGCTTTGTACCAAAAAGACATTTGAAATGTAGGCTGAAATGAAAGAGAGAAAAAACAAAAAAGATTTTGCTATTTAGTTTATAGTCCAAGTCAATCATAAAGATACATCAAACGATTTCTGTATTGTGTATGTTTGTGTGTGTATACAAACACACAAACACACACATACGTACATACACAGAAAGAGAGAGATTGGTATGTAAAATTTTAAGAACTCTTTTGAATATTCATTCTTTCTGCATAAAATGATCTAAAACATTATCTGTTCTCCACCAAATCCTAAAACTAGATAAAGAGAACCCATTTAAGTAAATGAGTCAAAACATTATTTATTTATTTATTAAGAAAAATATCCCAAAGCTAACAACGTTCCAGTCATGCTGTGTAAGGAGGTATTTCCAGGAGGAATAAACAAAGAACATGGCACATGGATTCCAGGAGTCTTTATTGCCATCTGAGTCACCCAACTTATTCCTTCTGCCCATTAAAGTATGCAGGCACTTAATATGGCAATATAGCAAGATACTAGAAGTGGATTATCAGTTTAGGTAAAAGAGCAAAAGCATCCATTCGTACTGAGTGAGGAAAGGCAATGGTAAACCATTTCTATATTTTTAGCAACAAAACCACATGTATAAATATAAAATGATTGAAGATATAGTGCTGGATGATGGGCATCTCAGACTGAATAGCAATCAACTTGCTACTGAAGAAGAGCTAAGGATCTTTTAGAATGCTAATGCATTTATGAGATAGCTTGATTAAAGACTTTGGGAAAATCCAAACCCACAGACAGAATTACAGTGGGAAGTTGGAATGTAAGAAGCATGAACACAGAAAAGTTCAGCAGGAGTCAAAAATGAAAGAAATCAACTATACATTGACATCTTCAGTATCAGTGGATTTGTTAGGACTAGAATTTGATGAACAACTGTTCAATGTGATAATAATCTAAGATGAAACATTGGTCCATAAAAAAAAGAAACTGATGGGTTTGATAAAAAAGTTCAATTTGAAATTGATAGAATATGCATGATGTGTTGTTAAAGACTGAAATATCAACATTGCAAATGTAAAGGAGAAAATGTTTTGGGATTATATGATTTAGGAACTGAAATGAAGAAGGTGAGCTTATCAATTTCTGAAAATTCAGTTATTTCTTCAAAGCTAACATTTTCTTCAAAGAACTGAAATGGTGACTTCATTGTTGCTAAAATAGGTGAAGGAGCTTAGTATATAACATCAAAGGCATGGCCAAGAGGAGCTAGGGAAAAGATCCCAAACTGTTTAAGTGCAAATCCCATGTTATGCTAAAGAACAAGATGAAAGCCAACCAACATCTATGATATGATATTCAGCATATATTTACTTTTTTCATAGAGAACACAAAAATTGCTTAAAAGTCTGGAACCTCATTGACAGAGAACCAAAGGAACTGTGCAATCAAAGTAAATAATTTGTTACAGATGATTACAAAAAGAAACTGCCAAAGTCGAAGAAATAGAAGAAAGCTAACTGAAAACTTCCAGATGAGAAATGATGAGCTACCAGATCCCCAAATGAGCCAATTGAGCCAACTGAAAACTATTGTGGACTAAAGTGGTACGGGAGGGCTTGCCTTTTGTCACCATTGGGACAACATGACAGAAAATGGTATGGCATTTTAAATAATACAGTAGATATTTGAAGAATGGGGATAGAAATCACAGCTACCAAGCAAGCAATGAGGTCTGTTTCTAGGGAACGACTATTTCCAAAAGATATCAAAGAGTAAATAACAGGTGGGGGAAAAAATAATCTGGAAGATCTACAGCAGGGGTGTCAAACTGCCAGCCCAAGGGCCGGATGCATCATGGCAAAGCCGCACCCACCCCGTTGCCGGCAATGGAAAAAAAGTCGCCATATGTCACGACACATCACATGACGTCACAAGTTTGAAGAAAAAATCTGGTACTCATCTAATTAGAAAATATTAGAAAATAAAGAAATTGTTGAAATATCAAAAAAAAATTAAAAACTGTGGATTGTGAGAGATAACAAGCCAATAGAACGACCAGGATAATGACTCCTTACTGCATTTATAAAAGTGGTTTGCTAAAGTGTTGAAGAAGCTTCTGAGATGGGGAAAAGAAAAACTGAAGAGAAACCAAGTGCTATGACAACAGTTGAATAAATTAAAGCTCAAGATTATTACAAACAAAACAAGTTGGCTATGGTTAAAATAAACCTGTTTCTTTTGATTACCCTTTATGATTTTTTTGCTGGACTGAATGTTAATGATTTATGGGTTTCTATATGCATAAGGGATGGATTATAGGAAGAAGAGATACTTTCATGTAATCTTATGGAGGTGAAGAATCACATTTGTAATTATGATGAAGATCAGAAGTCATTTCTTTAAATATTCCTTTTCATTTTTTCTTATTTTTCTCTCTTTTTTCTTTTCTTGTACTTTCTATTCTTTCTTTCTCTTTCACTAAGTTTATATTAACTGTTTTATTTCTTTTAAGAAAGGTTTCCAATAACAGTATTTTAAAAAGAAAAAATCAAATTAGATGTCAGAACGAACTGTGAAAATTGCCAAGAGAAGCCAAAGACAAAAAAGATAAATAATTCGGGAAGGAACTTAACAAAAGATTTCAAAGCGCTATTAGAAAAAATAAAAAGCAGTATTACAACTACATATATAATATATAAAGATAGAAACTAATTCAAAGATCAAAGATGGAAAGAATATATTGGACTTCTGTGTAGCAAAGATGTCAACACTCAAAGGATCAGTAAATGTTCTAGCCACTACGCAAGCAAAAAAAAAGGAGCACAGTGAGCAAATTATCATATAATATCCTTAATTTAATATGTTAGCAAAATAAGGTTTAAGATCATTCACTGCAGATTAGAGCCTACCTGGAAAAAGAGATGCCAGATATTCAAACTGGCTTTAGAAAAGACCGAGGAAAACAAGGTATTATTTCAGATGCATGCTGGGTAATTGAGAAAGCAAAAGAATACCAAAAAGAAATCAGAATGTATTTCACAGTTACAGAAATGCCATTATTATACTGATTGTGTCAAGCTGTTGGAATGTGCTTAGAAAAATGACAATCTCAGAAAATTTTGTCCTCATGCAAAATCTTTATTCAGATTATGAAGCCTGTATGGACAAAATATGGCACAAGAAAAAGGGAGGGAGGGGGAGACTGTCTCAGCAAAGGAACAAGACAAAGCTGTATCTCTTTACTTACTCAACCTATATGATGAAATGTAGTACAAACAAAGATTTCAAATTGCAGCTCAAGATGTTATAATTTTAAAGGAAATACCCTCAAAAATTCTGAGAAGAAGAAAGGACTTTGCCTTTTCGGTTGAGGAGCTTAAGAAGCGTCAGATTCAATTTAGATGGGATGTACCTGTTGGCATAGTGGTGAATTATGTTGGAACACGTTATAGACTAAATACAATTTTAAAAGCAAGAGATTTTTATGTTTCTGTTCTGAAAGCAGGTGCACCACCATCTCCAAGATCTAGAAGAAATGAAGGACGGTTGGCTGCAGGAGCAATGTCACCAACAGGAGAAGAGTTGTTGGTTGAATCAATGCAACAGTGTTTGGAGATAAGAGAAGATCCAAGGGAACAGAGAATGACTCGTGCAGCCCATAAACGTAGAGAAAAACAACAACAAAAGTTAGATGCTGGAGTTACAACACAGGCGGTTACCTCTGAGCCAGTGGGAGGAACAACACCGAAGAGGTCATCAACTGCGGATTTAGATGCGGTGTTCCAAAGGCTTCAAGCCATGAGAGATGGCAAAGTTCCTGACATGGAATGTTAATGAATTGAATTCACCACAGAAAAGAAAGTATTTACTCTTTGAAACAACATAAGAATGATGTCATATGTTTGCAAGAGACTCATATTGCTTTAAAGGATGAAAAATATTTGATTAACTCCAGGCTGGGAGCACATTTCACAGCCTCTGCTCCGCAGAAAAAAGCAGGAGTAGCTATTTATGTGAGGAAAGACTTATTACCAAAGTTAATTGATTCTGATCCACAAGGAAGATATGTTATTATTGATTTATTATTAAATGGCAAGAGAAGTCTTGTCATTGGACTATATGCTCCTAATCAGCAACAAAAATATTTTTATAAGATGATACATCAGAAAATAACTCAATTGGATTATAAATCAGTAATTATAATGGGAGATTGGAATGGTGTTTTAGAGTCAATTAAAGATAAGAAGGGTTCTTCTAAATCTCCTAATCATTCAAAATTACCTAAAGCCTTTTTTGATTTGAAGGATGATTTGGAACTCAGAGACATTTGGCGTAAACGGAATATGGAAGAAAGAGACTTTACTTTTTTTTCAGATAGGTATTAGTCGTACTCCAGAATTGACTTTTTCTTAATTACTAATGATCTCTTTTCTAGGGTGAAGAATGCCAAGATATTCCCAAGAATATTATCAGACCATAGTCCTGTATGGATGGAGTTATCTCCTGAAGATGGGAATAGAAGGATTTGGAGATTGAATGAAAAATTATTTAGACACGAAGGGAATTTACAGAGATGTAGAGATTATTTAAAGGAATTTTTTTTTGAATATGCCAGTAAAGCATATATGAGAGGGGTTTTGATTTATATGAATAATATGCATAGATGTAAACAGATGCAGAAACGTAAAGAGTTGGAAGTAGAGATTAAATCTAAGGAAAAGTCTCTTACATTAAATCCATTGGACAATAACTTAAAGGCTTCTATTAGTTTGCTTAAGGAGCAATTTAATATGTTGATAGCTGATCAGATTGCAATTAACTTGAGGTATATGCAACATAATACATTTTGCAATGCAAACAAACCTGGTAGGTAGTTGGCTTACCAACTACGAA